CTTCCGCGCTTGATTGAAATAGATGGTAACGATCTCCGCTCCACACAAGAGTGTCGTCAGTACAACGGCCTGGTACATGTTCACGTTTGTGTTGGAAGTCGTGACGATGCTACACGCAGGCTTGCATTCGGCTTAAGACCTTGTTTTGGATTCGCAACTTCATCATCGATTTTCGTGTGGCATGACAATGCGCTTCTCATATAATGAAGGTTGTCCGCAGTTTTGATTTGGGTGCCGTTTACATGGATTTGAAGAGCACTGCATTTTTGGTTGACAGGTGGTGCATGACCACTGCTTTATTTGTGTTAACTGTTAGTCCGAGATTGATGCGACGGGCGGCGAAAAGGTTCATGCTCATTTGCATTTCAATGTCAGTATCAGATTATTGAAAGTAAGATAGACGAATGCTCCTTATTGGTAAGAAGGTGGGTGAAATGAATGGATAGGAAATAAAAATGGGAAAAAAGATATTTTCATTACATATTTGCAAGCGAAGCCCATGAAGCTGGTGTAGTCGACATTGTAATACACTATGGCTATTCGCTTAACACGAGTAGTATACTGATTATGTTCAATAAATATTGTCAATAAGAAAGAGTGATTCATTACCTCGTGAGTTACTGGATCATGGCGTTGAGTTCGTAGTCGTCCGCGAATGACAGATCGTGGATTTTAATCGTTGATATACGCGTTGAGGCTTTCATGCACCGGCTATTGGGAAGATGCCCGGAAGTCCTTTAGTCGATTCGGATCCCAGGAGGAGAATTTCTGTAGACGTCCATCATCATGGTCTTAAACGTGAGATTGATGAGCGTGAGAGCCAGTACGCAATCCTGTTACACTTCGTCGTCACTGTGAAGACTTCGGATACAGTCCCGTGATCGGCGACGCGCGCCATCACTCCATCATGCATCTGACGCAGTATGTGCGTGAATCGCTCAGGACAACCGACTTTCTGCATGAACTTCCACATTCCATCGCGATTCACTGTGTCAAAGGCTCTCGTTAAATCCGCGAAGATTGTGTAAAAGTGAGTCCGCATCTATTAATCCTTCTCTTGTAGCTGGCGAGTGAAGAAGATAATGTCGTTTGCCAATAGAAGATAATATGCGAGTTCCAAGAAGCAGTTCAGAAGAAGAAGATGCGATCACTGGAACAAGAGTTATATGTGTCTGACGTTACGGACGTTTCGTTTGTTCCGCGGTGTCTTTGGGAGACACATTGTCTTTCCGAGAGCATTCCCTGTTCTAGGTGGCTGTTAAGACCATTTAGAAGGATGCGAACAGAGGTCTGTCGGGTGATTTCGAGCAGCGACGTGCAAAAATCATATCTTTTTGACAATTCTATCGATTAATAATCCAAAGTGGATTCCCAGAACAGTCAACTGTACTATATCATGACATATTGGCAGGGGATTTTGGCAAGTGTGATTATACTCAGGTTTCACGGCTCACGGTTCACGGCTCGCAGCTCAGCTGAGTAGAGTATTGGCCGTACTGAAGCCGGAGAAGATTTCTTATGTAGAACAGTTTGCAGTTTACTATGCACAACTACCTACCTAACTCATTATAGTAAGCATGCTATGTTTCATTTTTTATATAATAGTGGACTGCAGTGCTTTTATGCATTACGTTTATACTGCTTTTCTTGCGTACGGTTATTTTCCGCTTCATTAATTTATGCTTAGTTTTTAGTTTCAACACTTTAGTCTACTTTAACATAAACTTAATATTTAGTCCCACTGGTTTTGGTTTGGTTTTCAGATTGGTTAGTTTGCTTTGGTTTATCTTACTTTAATAAACTTACTTTGCTTTTTAATTTTAGTTTTAGTTGCGTTTTTGGTTTATGATTTAGTTTTTTAGTGGTATTTAGTAAACATTAATTTTGAGTTTAGTAAGCTTAGTTTATTTTAGCGACATGCGATTGCTCCTCGACTTAAAAATGGGGAAAAGTCCATCTTTCATGATTTATTCGAATTTCGGAAATTGGTTGTATGGGTTGAACTGCTCATTTTAATTATCACGCGCTTTTTATTGCCAAAAATTAGGTTAGTATTTTCCACTTTTATTAACTCAACTATTCTAATTTCTTATTCTTTCGACTGATGTGCCTCGCATATGAGGGCTCTATTCCCAGCGATCCCGTAAGACAGAAACCTGAGGTTTCTTGTTACTCAGCTGTTCCATATAGGGAATCTTTGCCCTGAAGCCTTGTCCTTGCCGTTATTGATGTCAATCCCACCGAGGTCGTCGAGTTTTCACAATTGGATCGAACGAAGTCCCTTTAAATCATAAGGAAACCCAGATAGGCACCTCATCTGTACAGCACTTTCTAATTGCTGTGACTTTGGTTACTTGTCATATTTAAGTAGATATGTAATGTTGCTGTTAGAGGCAGATGGGTTTACCTTCAGACTACTGTACATGTTAGTGGTAATCTTCTGGAGCTGGAACTAGGACACTTTGGAAGTTGCACTAAGGGGGGGGGGGTAGGAAGAGAAGCTAGGGACATAGGCGCGTTTCATTTCAGACCGCTTTACGGCTACAGATAGAACTGGATTTTGTTCAACTAGGATTATAATAGACGCTAGGCTTAATTACAAAGGGTGAAGCTGGGGTTAGGACTGAGGTTTGTTTTAGGATAAGTGTTAATTATAGTGCTAGCACGAGGGTTGGAGTTATCTTTAGGGTTAGGCTGAGTGGTAGAGTCAGTTTTAGGGTTGTGTGGTTAGTTGTACGATTAGATTTAGTTTTGAGTCTTACCTGCCAGGCCAGGCCGGTCGTTTTACACAATCGACCCAGGTGAATATGAGGTTGCTGATATTCCCATCTGTTATGCTTATTGCAAAAATAAGATGCATATCAGCTATTGATACAGTTATAGGAAATACTGGGTTTCCATATTAAACATTCTGAGGCATGTTGTGCCCTCATTTAGGCAAGAGACGTCCTGTAAATCTCAAGCTAGAGTTACGTACTCCAGTAAGTGTACAGTTAGCCTGGAAACGGCAAATGCCACTACGTTGCGAAATAAAGGCATGGTAAAAGCTGAGTTATTACATATTTAAGTTTCTTTAACCCATGAATTTATTAAATGCCCGATACAGCTTGGGACTGCATACTAGGTACCGATTTCCTACATGCCGTATTAGAATATTCTATTTACTGCTCCTGGTA